TCAGGGCCTGGGGCACTGTGAGTGCTCAGGAAGTGTTTGTCGAAGAATAGACTTGGATGGGGGAGGTAGGATGAGAGTAAACCAAGTTTTCATTATTTCAGAAAACACAAACGAACAGACATGGCATATGTATTAAGATTACATGAGGCCAGGCGCAGCGGCTCATGCCTGTAACCCCAGCACTTTGGGAGGCTGAGGCGGGAGAATCACCTGAGGTCAGGAGTTCGAGACCAGCCTGGCCAACATGATGAAACCCAGTCTCTACTAAACATACAAAAATTAGCCGGACGTGGTGGCAGGAGCCTGTAATCCCAACTTCTCAGGAGGCTGAGGCAGGAGAAGTGCTTGAACCTGGCAGGCAGAGGTTGTAGTGAACCGAGATCATGCCATTGCACTCCAGCCTTGGCAACAAGAGCAAGACTTTGTCTCAAAAAAAAAAGTAAAAAAATTACATGAAAACTGTAGATGAAGTTTGAAAGACAGGGTTTTTAAATATATGTCAACGACTCTATTTGAAATCCAAATAGCCACACAGTCGTGGGGCTCAGCAGCTGGTTTTACTGAGTATGTCATGCTCTTCCAAGAAAGGCAAGTGAAAGCTCCTCAGCTGACTTCAGAATAGCTTATAACAGGTTATATGAAAACCCCAGGAGGCTGGGTAGTGGAGGAACCACCAACTCGAGGACGTGGTATCTATGTTTACTGGAGAGGGATCGATCAAGCCCCACATGAAAAGGCAGCCACTGCCAGAGTGCCCAGTGGAACGGCGGCCGTGGGGCTGTGCCTACTCTCAGGCGAGCGACACTCCCACCACGCCGACTGGTGGACATGACTTGGGAAGAACCAGAGATGCGTTCCTGGCCTCCCTAGAGTGCCCAGCACAGCACTGGCCCTCGGTGGATGCTCAGTAAGCCTGTGATGGACCATCCCAAATGGAGCATCCAGCACAAGCAGCCACATTTCAGTGTCTTGTGTGATTGATTCTACTTGATCGGAATCTGTGATCCACACATATTACCCACTGTCATTCTTTACTGACTCTGAGAATATCCAGTAAATCAAAATACTCCTTTCCCCAAATGTTCTGTATGAATGACAATTATATTCAACAAAATTAGTATCGTGCATTGAAAACTAAGGCCATGTTATAATTCTAAGTTCATTGAGGAAAAACACTCTATTTCAGGCGTGAGCTACCTAATACAACTCCAATTTCTTTCAAATAAAGTACAGAGCATTATCTCTTAGGATGATATAATGGAGAAAAGTCTAGACTAAAATACTGAGATTTTAGAACCATTTTCTTGCTAATTCATTCTGTGACCTCAATTAAGTAACTCATCAGCTCCTCTGGTTTCTCATTGTGTAACGGGTAAATCACACCTCCCACTGTGGTCGGATTATATGAAAAAACGGCTGTGAAAATGCTTAGAAAAATGTGAAGAGTGATGTGTGCATATGTTATTTCTACTTATTAAAAAGGTTGTCACATTAATAGAGTGCCTTTTGAGCCACTGTTGTGTAAATAAAAGCAATACCTTGGTACGCAGGAGAAAAGTCAAAGAATCTAAACATCCACTAAAAATAACATTGGCAGCATATTTCTAAGACTGACCTATTTTCAAAGGAGCGTCAGGAGCACTGTCGGGTCTCTCCGAGAATGTGAAATATTCTATATTTGCCAAAGGGGTGATGGACGCCAAGCGAGAACAAGCCCAGGAGGGTTCGGTGGGCTGGTGTGGAGGGTCCCAGGTCTGGGAGGTCTGGGCTGTGGGGGTTGCATGGGTGGTGGTGGAGCCAGAGCACCCCCAGCACTGCCCCTGTCTCCCATAGCCCCTTCATCTGCCTGTGGACTGTGGCTCCTCTAAGACCTACAGGATGGCCTGCCTCTTGGGGGCAGGTGGTGGCTGCTGTCATCCCCTCTGGGTTCACCCAGGCGCTGGCAGAGCACATCCGTCAGAGCAGACCCCCGTTAAGGCTTGAAGAGTTAAGAACCGAGGGATGGGTGGAGGTGCAGAGAGACACTGGGGATGCCAGGGGAGCCCGCCAGGGAAGCTCCAAGGTTCTGGAGGCAGGTTGACTCACCGCAACCTGTGTGGAGAAAGAGGTCCCCTGGCTCAGCTTGCATGCAGGAAAGGTAAAGTTAATACCGAAAACCCCAGGAGGATGGGTAGTGGAGGAATCACCAATCTGAGGACGTGGCATCTATGTTTACTGGAGAGGGACAGATCAAGCCCCACATGAAAAGGTAGCCACTCCCAGGGTGCCCAGTGGAACAGCGGCCGTGGGGCTGTGCCTACTGTTGGGTGAGTGATGCTCCCACCACGCCGACTGGTGGGGGTGGCTGGTACAGATACCTGAACCAGACGAGCACACCTGGGGCCCCTGCACCTTTGCACCATCCGTGGAGAACCCACCAGGACACTGGGAACATCTCTGAGTAGGGCTGCCCAAGGGTCAGCATGGTGGGGGTGGGCGGTTTGGCTGATGGTTTTCAAAGAGCAGATGTCTGCAGGAACTTTAGAACTAGCGAGACAGTTCTCACTGCAAAAGACAGGAGCTCCAGGAGAACAAAGAAAGATGAGAGGCCAATTTTCCCTTGAATGTTTTAATTTCGAGGAGGGGGACATTCAGCATGACCTTGGCACCAACCCACCAGATTTCCTTAGAAAGCTAGCAGGACAAGTGTTGGCCT